TGTGATCGCCAGCTCCTCTCTGGAGTGCCTGTTGTAGAGATTTAAGTGATTTCTTGCCAATGATGGTGACAAACTGTATTCTAATAGGGTGCGACTGAGAGCCCTCTGCCCCAGGGAAGAGAGAGAGAGTGCTTTCGGATAAAAAAAAATCTGACAGAGAGAAAAGTGGTAGTATTAAGCACAAGAAGTTAATATTTCTGTCCATTTTTGGCTGTACTTGACAAGGTCATGCTTAATTCTGGACTCCAGGTGGCCTAAGGCCACAATAAAGGCAGGAGAATCAGTGCGGCTGACTTATTGACTGGCAACCCTTGTAGGTAATACCGACACTGCAGAAATGAAGCAGAGGGCAGCCCCTAGATTAACGGCATCGTTCAGTCCACTAAAAACAGCAGATAAATCTTTAGCTTGTGATAGAGCTGATCAGTAACTACAGCGTCCTCACTGCTAAAGACCCTGTATTGGATTAGCCATTAAAAGACGGATGGATGAACGGTCAGACAGATGGATGGATGGATGCGTGGATTATTCTTGTTATATTGTTATATAAATCTGAAGAATGTATTTATTTTGCACCATTGATCCTGCTTACTGTCTCTCTAGTTTTTTGCTTATGACAGGAGTTCATGTTGACAGTATTTTGTTGGTGCTGTTTGCTGGTTTGTCCTCCACACAGGAATGCTAAACCAATGCTTCAGAGTTCTGCTGCTGATGTCCATCTGTATGTATCTCACATTCATCCTGTACTGGAATCATAAAGACACTCACAGGACATACAGGTCTTTACGAAATGCTTGCCCTGACCTACTAAAATATATTCCCATGTAGTATGTACTCAAATGTAGGTAAATAGATATATTTTTTATTTGATCTCATCGTAACCTAAGCATTTTCCTGTAGCATTCAAGCCAACACTGCACTCCCATCCAGTGGGAGTAGTCCCACTTGTGAACTGTGAACAGCCTTCTGTTAAAAGACTGAATTGCTGATTTTTTTTCTTTAATTGTGGAATAGTGCTGAAAACTGAGAGTGAAGAAGCCTCAGGGTATCTCCCACATACAATCAGCTTTGGGGCCTCAATTAATTATACCCCTCGGACTTGTGCTTAATTGGAGGGTGTTAATTAAAAAATGGATTAGAAGATAAAAACTCAGGCAGGAGAGAGAGTGCGCTCTGTGCCACATCTACTAGCTGCCAGTACCATGAGGGCTCAGCCGTCCACAGGCTTCCGACGGCCACTACAGGTCCATGTGAGTAGCCTCTGACACTATACCCACCTCCCCCAGAGATGCTGCCATCTACAGGTTTGGAGGTCACTTTGGGTTTCGTTGGCAGGGTTAAGGGGATGGGGAGGTCAGTGAGTTAGGAAATCTGGACTGACCTCCCTTCTACAGCTTTCAGGTGGTGAGCTAATTCTATTGGACTACACCAGAATGAAGGAAGGCGCCATCATCTGATCCGGACTGGACACCGAGGAAGAGTGTGGGAGCAGTGCGTCAAATCGACAGAAACAGAAGTGCCTATGAGCTCTGTCCGCGTGCGAAGGCAAAACTGGGGGGATGTTAAAAATAAAAAGAATAAAAGTTTGGAAGAAAAAGTAGGTTTCGATGGCCGCACCTCCTGCGGCCGCTTGCAACGTGTCTTCCCCGGTGTATCTGAAGGACGATTTTGAGGGGCGTGGTACTACAAGCCTCGGCGTGCCGAGCGTCTGCCGGGAAATTGAAAGGCGTTTGAAAACGTCACACCTTTATATAGAGTAGCCAGTGCCTGCTGCGGAGACCAGTCTCTCACGCAAACAGGATCTCTGTCCTTATGGAGACCTGGTGGAGCTATAGGGGCCTTTGGGAAGGAGGGGGTGATCCGCAAACGTGAACGGCCAATCTGAGAAACAGATGGCTTTGCCGTCTCTGTTTCAGCATTTGTTCGAATGAATTAATAATAATCAATTAGCATTATATAAAGCACATTCACGTCTGCATATTTTATGGGGCATGCATATTTTAAAATCTATTTAAAATCTATACATATTTCATGATTTTAACAACATTACGGCTCCCTTTGATTGGCAGAGGTGGTGATAGTTTGGCAGGTAATGATGTATACACATGCAGGGACATGCCGAAAATCCACATCCTTAAATATTAATGGCACCTTCCGCTGCCACCGGAGGTGTGGAGTCCTGGAGCGCACCGCGTGTTCACACTGCGATGTGGCCGCAGGCCCATGTCACCCTATGGGAAGGCCGCATCCCCGCCAAACTCTCCAGGAAGGTCCCGTCAATGTTTTTTTTTTAGACATGTAGCTCACTAATTGCAATCTTTTCATGCCTTTTTTAGTTTTCATTAGAACGGCGTCTCTAGAAAACAGCTCTTCGAAGGCCCTTAACACCCTAGGCCCGCTAACCAGTCATTAGTCACGCGTGGGTTTCATATTTGCCGCTCGGTCGTTCCTGCGTCACGCTCCCGTCGTGCTTGTTGCCATTTGAGGATGCTAACGTCTCGGCCCTTGGATGTGAAACCTCGCAGCATTACAGACACAGTGCATTAGAGGCGGATTAAAAAGTAGTTTTAGTTCCACTTCAAAGTGCGCTTTGAGACTGCTGACACATACAAAGCAGGGCCGTTTCCTCCTAATTAGTCTCAGCGGCCTTTTTCCATGACATTGTGGGGCAGGGAGCAAAAAACGCAAGGGCTCCACGGCGTCGCGGCGACAGGCGCGTCTAAACTAGCCGAGGGCAAGGAAGCCTGAAAAAAACACCACGTTTTTGAAGAAAGACCTCATTCCTGTTCTTCTCGTCTACTAAATCCAATCATCTGGAGTGCCTGAGAAGCAGGAACCTGGGCGCAATAATTTGCACCCTTCAGCAGACGCGGAAACGACATTTAAGGCGGTGCGTGTTTATCTTCAATAAGTGGGCAAAGCAAATTGATTTTTTTCATTTTATTGGCAACAGATACAGTTGTCTTAATTAATAAATGATATGGAGGTGAGTGCCGTTGTTCCTTTTGATCGCTGATAGGCAGAACCAGCAGGAAAATCTAGCTTTTAATGGTTTTGGTGGGAAGAGCTCCTCCAGGAAAAAAACACCCAAATGAAATCATGGAGAGAACAGCCCACAGTGAGATGTGGCTCTACTGGATATACATGGTATAAAAGTCACCTAATAAATCTCATATTTAGTAATTAGTATTATCCATCCCATCATGTACAGTTTTATTTTAATCATTAACGTAAAGATTCATCACATAAAGTATCCCTCCCAGCTATCTTCTAACCAGCCCGCCGTTGTCAAGCCCTGACTGATTAATTATTCTTCCATGACAGGCTAATGCTCAGCGACTCTATCTTAGGAAGGCTGCCATCTGCTGGCAGAAGCGAACTGCTTAGGAGTACTTTTAAAAAGCTTATCGCTTAGCTTGAGAGTAGGATTAAATATCTGCATGCCCACTCAAGCATTTAAGTCACAACGTTCCACCCTAAGAGAGACAATGCATGTGCCCACTGGTCCGTAGTGCCATGCAGAGATGGCAGATTTTCGTGGGCCTCATATGCTGCTCCCATGGGGGGCACACAGCAGTGGGCACTGGCAAGGTCTGTGCTCCCCCTTGGGGGAGCAGTGCCACAGCAGTGCCATGCAGCAGGCTGGCAGCACAGCTTGCCATCAGCGCCACTGAGACTGCCAGGGACAGCCCAACCCAAAGTGGGGGAGGGGATGGCAGAATCCCCAGCAACGCATCTGGGGCAAGCCTGTGGCACGAGGTGACTGTCAGCTGTCACCCAGCCTGACTTATGGAGTACATCTGCACTCCTGCTGAACCTCGAACAATCGCTAAAAACAATTAACGAGCAAGAGGGGCCCCTTGCGTGCAACACCAGACCGTATTGTCCCCTTGCGCGAGGACCAGAGAGGGTGGTCCAGTGGTACTGCAAATTGTGAGAGGTATTGACATTTGGAGTGTTGTGTTCCACAAGTAGAGGGGGGATTTGGGTCTCATCCTCGTCAATGTCAACCAAGGGCCGCTCCCCCCAGTATTCTGGGGCATGAGTCTCCCAGAGGACACTGGGTTTGGGTCCCAGTATGGCAGGGGTTCATGTCTTCTTGCACGAGGACCAGAGAGGGTGGGCCCCTACAAAGACCAGAGAACGTCATCTAAAGTCCCCAACCCGAGAATGTGAGTGGTTAAAGTCCCCCGTTTCTGGTGGTATTTTATCTATCTATCTATCTATCTATCTACAGTATCTATCTATCTATCTATCATCTATCTATCTATCTATCTATCTATCTATCTATCTATCTATCTATCTATCTATCTATCTGTCTGTCTGTCTGTCTGTCTGTCTATTTTACTATTTCTCTTTTAAAAATTTTCTGTGCTTATTGTTATACTTAATTCCTTTCTTTTAAATATCTGTAAAGCACTCTGTAAACCCTGTGGTTAAAATAACGCTATATAAATAATGACTGATTGCCTGACTGATTGATATTGCATTGATCCCCTGGTCCGATCCGCCCCTTTCTGGCCGTTCACTTCTGCAGCCACGCTAACACAGAGCTAGCAGCCTGCGCCCACCAAATTGCTTCCAGATAAGGTTTTGAAGAAGGAGAAGAGGTCCCAGCAGCACCAGCTTGTTATCTGTGAATGTCGCAGGGGTCTCAAGGCCCCGTTCGCGTGAGAGCATCTCAAGTACCTTGAGATACTTTATGCATCCAAACCTCAGGACATTCTGTAGTATTAGAGAGTGCTCTTCATACGGTGTAAGCATTCCTGCTCCATGAGCACCTGGTCATTTTCACACTCATGTCAGAAAAACACACTTCACCCTCACTTTTATGACATAATAACAATGTAAATGCACTAAATTGCTTAAAGTGTATTCACCAGCCCCAGGAGGCTCATGGAAAGCATTGCACTGCTGGCTGAAGATGGCAGGATGCTACAGTACACAGCACTGTCCTCATTACCGAGGCCTCCTCACCAAACACACACACGCCGACTCACCTTCTCCTGGTACTGACGGCGGGAGGAGTCCAGAGACTGGATGAGTGCAGTGGCGTGTCCCACAAACATGGCGTAGCAGGTGGCACCCACGATCATGCTGAGGATGGTGAGCCAGACGTCCGTCATGCCCACGGGGGGGTACATGCCGTAGCCGATGCACAGCATGTGGCTCATGGCCTTGAAGAGCGCGTAGGAGTATTGCTGGCCCCAGGTGTCGTTCTGTGACATGAGGGAGGGGTAAGAGAAGGCAAGTGCATGCTGTAGCAACATTGGCATCAAGGGGGGGGGGGTAAGGTGGCCCATCAAGTTGTAGTTAAAGGATTGGGGGGGGTGTCAATTATCGAGCCTTGGTGGCCCTCAGTCCGGAAGAGTATCTGGGAGAGAAACCACCCCTTTGTTAGACTATGTATAGTATGGCAGCTGAGTTTTCTCTATATGAATCATCACAGTGGCTTCGGATGTCTCTGGGACGAGGGGTCAGCTGCGCTACGGTGAGCATGGTCATTGGCCCCCGTCTCTCCGATTCTCCCGGCGAGGCTGAATCGATATCGAATTGCTTTCAAGCTACACTTCTACTGCAGGAATAACCAGTTATTAGCGCCTGCGATCGTTTCGAGTAAAAACAATATCTTGACCTGACAAGGTAATGATACGTTTAAGAGCGGGCGACCTTAGCTACGTGAGCATACCGGGTAGCGATTACTATCTGAGCTCCGGCGAGTGGGAAAATGGGTAGTTTGTGGAGCAATTTATCAGATGAGGGCCAATTTGTGCATAAGACAGGCCGTCTCTGTAATAGCCTCCACTCCAGGCAGTTGCTAACCCGATTACCATTTGTACCCATTACACAGATCCAAATGAGCTGTCAGCCTTTTGCACGGCCCTTTTTGTGGGCGCACGCTGACATTTTTTATCCATTTTTTTTGTTTACTTTTTTCATCCTTGGCGCCGTTAAAGGTTGTCATTTGAATTGGACGTGATCGTGTTTGTCATCTTGGGCTCTGGGCCTTCAAAGATGGCAGACGCGTCCTCTTTGATGTGTCAGGATCCCAGTGGGCCTGCCGGTAAGTCCTTATAATAAATGAGGTCTCTGAAGAACCGGCGGTAATTTGTAACGTGCCAGGTTACTGTACGCCGCAGGCAGCTTGCAGGTCCAGTGGTCAGTTATATAACAGACCTGAGATGTCTCTCAGATGGGCAGCATTGCTCCTATGAAATACATCCCGCTATTCACTCCAACAACTGGACAGAACATCATCCAAGCAGATATCTATCTAAGGTGCAAGGTACCTACCTAACCCACTTATGCATAAAAGTCTCACTTTGCAGGCTTCCCCATGAGACAGCCACCCCCCCATATTGGGGGGAGGGTCCATTGGGCACCTGAACGTCTCCACTCGGTTTATTAATTAAAACCCTAAAGGTCATTCTTTTGCATATGTAAACACCACGTCATTATACTGAAAGACAGCTGAAGCTCATCCTCTGTCCCTTACTATACCACATTGACTACATCACTCCATGTTGCATAACCTATGAACCTAAATCAGTACCATGTCATACTACAACAAGTCATATTTGCCTGACAGACATTCAGGGCCGCACAAAAATATGGCTGGGCCCCTGAAATATTAGACACCACCCCCCCCCCCCAAAGAAAAGCTACCATTTATTCACACACTCATGGCTCCCTCTAGTGTGTGGGCCCCCGAAAGTCTTCACCTTTCTCCCCCCTTATGGGCAACCCTGCCTGGAATATATTTACAATATATATATACTGTATAGCACCACAGCTAGGCCTGGGGAGGGCAGGGGACTCGCGGCCTGAGTGCTCACCACCATCTTGTTCTTGGAGACCCAGCAGTCGGCGGGGAAGTCCTGCAGCATGGGCACCAGGAACTGCAGGCAGCCGTCCCAGTGGCACAGCAGCAGCATCATGCCGATGAGGTTGACAATGCGCACCATGGCACTGGCCAGGTCATAGGTCATATGGAAGATCTGTGGGGGAGCAGAAGGGAACACGTTCATACATTGAAACCCGAGGCCATCTGCTCACATGTCCGAAAACATGACACTTCACACATTACATACTTTAACCTCGTGAAATCACAAGACATAATTAGATACATATATGATAGACCCTACAAGCTGCCTGAAATGTAGGTTTTCGTTGTAAAAGGGTGCTTAAGTACCCAGCTGAACCATTAATTTTCCCAGTAGGGCTAATTTAGCCGGCTCTCAGGGCTGGGGTTTTAAGTGGATGAAATGGTACTTTAAAGCTGGCATATGCATTGGGCAGCAACGACTAGGACCCCTGCATTAAAGGGATTTCGAATGGGAATAATTATTTGGTTTTAAGAGAGGAGATAACATTAAGGCAATCGAATAACCTAATGAGAATTCCTAAAATAATAAGCACAGCCCCTTTTCCTGTGCGGCAAGGGGACGGAGGCAGTGTTTGCTTGACCTATGATAAGTGCACTCCTGGGATTCTCCTGGATGCCGGCGACTTGGCGGATTTTAATGGCCTCTGTAATTTAAAGCCGTATAATACCGCTGGGGTCTGCGGCTTGCCCTGTGCCTTCCTTAATTAATACATGCAGCATTTACCACGTCCGGGCTGAAAACGTGACGACGGGGCCGCTGTAGAAGGGCCGCAGGAAGACGCAGGGGCACCGGCCGGTATGCAGCCCCGGCAAACGAGCAAACTGCAGGCGTGGCTCTGTCAGAACTGTCCCTCAATAACATAAAAATTCATAGAACAGGTCATGGCACAGGGGTAAACAGCACTTTCCATTGGGATCAGGCTTCTTTCTATGGGGATGCAGAATGCAGGGCTCACTCACGGATAGAAAGTTAGCTCTCAGATGAGATTAGGAGAAGTGGCGAGCTTCCCAGGAAGGTTTAGCTGAAATCCCAAACCGTGCGCCCCTTCAGGCTCCTTTTCAAAGCCCTCGCTCCTCAGCACACTTCTGCAGCCCAAGGAGACCCTCCTTCCTTGGCTGGGCTCTCCCTCATCTGCCAAGGCATCTGCCTCCTCCTGCAGATCTCCCCATGAATCACGATCCCCGACCGCAGTAAAGGGAATTACAAATACCTTATGAACAAGTAATATCTTCTGGATTTCATTTGTGTCACTGTATATTTAGGATTGAATTAACACCCGGCAATAACAGAATCAAAATTAGCCAATTTTATTTGAAGGAACTACAGTATGCTGCTATTACAACAGAGAAGCAAGGTTTCATTCCACTTACATGACTCTTTCCTCTGTTTCTGAGGTTTTAATTTATTTCATCGATGGGGATGTCACCGGGAGAATGATAGAGGTAGAGATAGTTCAATTTTGCTTCTCACAGGATGGAAACATACTGGTCTTTTCTGTGACTTTAAATTAATTCAGAGAAATGTTATATTTCTTGAATACCAATGACTATTTGCCTAGATAATGGTCAATTGCTTAGCAACAACTGACAACAGACAAAACCGATAGCACTGAAAATAACATTGCGACCAAAGCCTCTCAGAACTTAATTTCATCTCCTGAAATTAGATCGGAGTGCACATAGGAAGGTCTAGGTCAGAGTTTCTAACAGATGCAGAAAATAATTAAATAAACGCCACTCAGTTTAATCATGACTGGTTCGTCAATCAAGCGTGGAACTATCCAAAGATTACACATTACTGTCCATGCTTTCCTGTTTCGGTCTCTCTATCTTATTGACATCATTAGCAACATAACACGTAGGAGAGGATGTCCTACTTTATGCAAATCTATGCAGGTGATGAAATCATTTACACGCCGAAAGATTTAAGAAGATGCAACAAATAAAACCTTCTAAAAAAAATTCTAAAAATCAGCAGTACATACTGAATGGATTATATTATTATAAGATTGGTCAAATGCATTTTAGAATCCAGACAGCTTGAAAAAGCAGCGACGGTTAACAAGCCCTGGTTATTACCTCTAACCCTCTGGCTCATCATCTCTTGTTTTCCATCACACACCCGCACACACCTGCACAGGGCCTAGATGGGTCTGGATGGATCGCTGCCGCTCGCTGATACTATCATAACCCTGGCAGAATCTGTAGCCAAGTAAACAGAGCTGTTTTACAGATGAGGCGCTGAGGTGCACTCCACTAACCAGGAGCTGCCCGGTAACTGCCAGAGTGCCTTTCCGTACCAGTGATGACCTGGGAGGTTCATTCTTAACCCACTGTCTACATGACATATATTTACGGAGTCTAATGTACATCTGTTGTGGTCATTTTTTCTTTCTTGCTGCGTTTCTACAGACATTTACTTGCATATGTACTGCCACCGTGAATATAATTTATTCACAATGAGTAATGAATGAATTTTCTCACCATTCCTTTAACAGACTCACAAACGAAACCCGTTTAGGCTGGTAGGTGCAAGCGAGACACGCATGTGGTTTCTCTCCATCACCATCCTCAACTGCACGCCCTTTATGATGTCATCACATCTGACAACAGCGGAACCATCGCTCTCCCGCAGTCCTCGTTCAGCGGGCAGAATCAAGACCCCTGAACGACTCCCCTCTCGGTTCTTGCCTCACCATGCAAAGACACGCCATGACCTTGACCAGGTGAGTGCCTTAGGAATCAGAAAGGGGACTGGTACTATCGGGGTGGTCATGAACTAGAACAGAGATGACTTTGCTAATTCTGGCCGCACCTGCAGGGAGAGCGAGAGAGAGGGTGGTTTTCCTCAGAGCATGGAGACTATCCCGTCTGACTCTCTGTGTTTCCGAGAGGCCTCAAAGGCATTTGGGGAACATTTCTGAGAACATTTTCCTTTGACCTGTGCTTCACACAGCACATCTGGCTGCTGGAAATGCTCAGTGCTGCAAAGTGAAGTCCGTCAGCAGGACGGCGATTGGCCTGATAAACGACAGCCCCACAGACGCGACGGGACATGCAAACTTAAGGTCACCACTGCAGCTCCCTGGAATCACGCGCTCTGCTGTCAACTCCACTTGACTTGCTGAGCAGGAAAGTCACACGGTTGGATGCATGGTGACTCTCTGACTGCGGCTTCAAACTTAAGGGGGGAACTGTCTTCCTGCACCGCATGGTAAAACTTCAGATGAAAAATGCCCCCCCGTTCCAGTTACCTGCCTCAGGCCTGATCCAGCGGGCATGTGGTGTCATGCACCCTGCAAAGCCGTTTTTAGCGAGCGAGAGTGCGACCTTCCATTCGCAGCCCTTGGCTGGATTATTCGGTACATGGATCAAAACTAGCAATGGTGGGTTGTGAGAACTTTTTATGTCTCTAATAGCGTTTACAAACGATTTTAAAGCCCCTCTGCCTGTTCGGCTTCCGCCAGAAAACCCATCGGATCACTCCTGAACGAAAACACGTGGAAATCGAACGTGCACGTGGCAGTTATTAATAAGCAGGAAATACGGAGGATATAAGTCTGCAATCAGATGGGGAACTGACCCCAGGCCTAGCCAAAACCAGTAGCCCCAAAGTCTCTAATGTGGCAGAGTAGGTTATAAAATGCGATGCCTGCTCTTGTCTGTGATGGCGATGCAGCAACATTAGCAGTCGCCGTCCACAGGTGGCAGTGTACTTTAATGCATTTCAATGAGTCAGTTTTTTGTTTTTCTTTTTTTTTTTTTAAAGGTACACCATGGATGCTTCCAGAAGACGGCCAGGGCGTGCAAACGTGCATGTGTGGCGGCGGATTACACATTTTCATTTAAAAGTCTTCACAGATACCCAGCGGTGGATATTAATATCGCACGAGTGAATTTGCACCCGTGAGGAGCTGTCAGCGGCGGTGCCACGCTTTATTGTGCGCTCAATAATACCCTAGCGTGCCTTTTCTCTGTCCTAACCCTTATCTCCGAGAGCGCAGTCCTTGGCCCAAGAGTGCTCCTGTGGAGCCGGGCCCGATTAGCCGATTTGCATTATTTATTTATTTACCCACGGCGATTCGCCTGGGCGGAAATGAAAGGGGCCCCTCCACGGGAACATGGCCCCCGCTGCCATGCCCTTATCGTCCCTCCCCGAGGCCCCAGCCCCCTGCCGGATTGGCCACCCGCCGGCCCCCTTCTTTTCCGCGAGGACCCTGGGGCCATAATTCTGCCTGAGTGCAGCTGCCCGCATTAACGGGGCACAGCACAGCCGGACACAATAACCACAGGAAGAAGATATTTCACAAAGACTCCCGACAGAGACGTCACTGTCTCGCCTTCCATCCGTATTGAGATGTACAATATATCCATTAACATATTGGTAGCGGCTGATGCTCATTACAAATCAAAACGTCTGCTTGGGCCAATGCGTCAGTCTTGGTCAATATTGCCAGCTGATTTAGTCAATTTTCAAAGTTAGCAAAACAGTTGTTTTTCCTATCTGCTGTTAGGCTGGCATTTTTTAAATCATTAACTTAGTTTCAAATTGCCAGCAATACACTCTGTAGTGTCACAGTTGACCAGCAGGTAATAAGCAGGTTTTTGTTTATGACCTGCAGTGTTTTCAATATAATAAGGGGCCATGCTTTGCGTTTGTCAGACAGTCAGATAGCAGGCAGTTCAGGCTTACAGAAAAGTAGACTTAAAGGTCAGGGAGTTTAAAATAAATGTGTTGTTCATCTCTCTATCTCATGCTGTTGTTTGGTCTGTTTCTTTGATAATAAACTCAGAACATAGGAAACTGACACAAATATCCAGAAAAAATTGCTTACCGGAATCAGTAATACTACACAAAAATATATCGATTGTTGGCATCGGCCAGAATTTCTGCATCAGTGCACCACTTCTGATAGTATGGGGCTGTTACAACACATGGGGAGGGTGTGTAGGAGCTGGTTGGGGAGTAAGTTAGGGGAGGTGTCATGGTATTGAGCGCAAAGCAAGTTTGTTGTATGCTAGAGAAACAACGGCCATTGTGAGTTTATACTGTGTCCATAAATGTGAGAGAGAGAGAGAGGCTGTAGTCATAAACGCCACATGGGTCACTCGCCCGTCTCATCCTGAGGGTGCCGATAAAGTCACTCCCTTCCATGCTCCAGTCCTCCTGTCCCGTGGGTCTGTCTGCCTTCCAGAAGAACCAGGTTCTTCATAGCTGGGTTCTGTCCCAGAACAGGCACCCAGACCCCGATGCCACTGGCAGATGTAGGCCTTTCCGTGACCTTTTCACTGTGTGTCTCTCCTTGCACTCACTTTGAAAAGCTATCCTGTCCTTTCTGGGTAAATTTGTCTCCACTCCCCCCATTTCTATGTTACATGGTTCTGTTTATGATGACCTTCATGTGTCCTCTTGACTTTGGGTGATCAGATAACAGAACGACTGACAATACAGATTTTCTCAGTTCAATCACAGAATTTTTCCAGCAGGATGCTTTCATGCTCAGATTCAACTGCCATTAAAATTATATTTAAAAATTATACATACAGAAAGCCTTAATGATCTCGTATCCGGCAGAAAATTCAATTTTACAGATAGTTTAATGTAACTCTTGAAAAAATTTGCGACACATTTCTTATACTTACTTTAACCCTTTTATACACTCAAATGAATGATTATTGTACTGTTATTTTATGTCAGATATTCGAAACAACACAAGAGACTGAGAGGTAAACAGGTGGAAAGACTACAGCGTGCGACTCCGTGGGCCTGTTAAGGACATTTTTTTGTATTGCACAATACTTTTATTTTTTTCTTATTTTTAGTTAGTTTAGTCTATTTTTGAGAGAATAATGAATGATATTACTCATTATCACAAATTTTCTTTGTTATACTGTTACTTTAGAAATGTGCCGATTCCATGACCGTACCAGTTACTTGAATGCTGAGAGCTTTTCCTATATACACAGGCACACGCGTGCATGCACACACACACACAAATACATGCGCGTGCACACACACACACACACACCCAAACACAAAAACACACACTCACACACACACATGCACACATATACACACATGAATATGAATGAATTCGAATAGCTCATAGAAACATTTCTGTTGGTGAAGTTACTCCCAACAAGCAGTCAATAATGCATGAGGAAAATGCATCATACTTGTCTGTCGGCATGACACAAGACAGATGGACAAGACCGACAGAATCTTTAGTCTGAATATCAGCAAAACTGTCACCACATCAGCCAAGTGACAGAGAGGCCAAGACAGAGAGTCTAGCGACCCGTTAGAGCGATTTCACCCGCTACTCTAAGTGCAGCGTCAGTTTCCGTCTCAGCTCTGCCATATGCCCATTGCTGACAGCTGGCTCTGCCTCGCAATCAGACGAAGTCACATTCTCTCAGAGTGTCACCGGCTCCCTCCTGGTAGGCTGGCTGAGTCACCGCCATTCACAGCGAGGCGCACTGCAGGAAGAGGCTGGCTCGCAGTGAAACAAAGGTGACACAAATTTTGGGTGCGTCAGCAATAGGATCCTCTCCCCTTCTGATGCGAGCCTTCCTCATGGGGGAGCGAATGAGCACTGTCTGCCTGCAGGTATGTGGCCTCCCCAATGCATTTTAGGATGTTTTTTCTCATTATGATCTGCGCCCCGCACAATACTCTCAGGAACAGAGATAATTTGCCACGCATAGGCTTAACGATGATGGGAAGAGTTCACTGGTCAACCAAGGGCACCATCTGAACCCAGTCAGGGTGATTTCAAGCTGCTGTCCTTGCAGTTTACAGAAGACGTGCTACTCTTAAGCCACCAGTGATCAAAAAACTACTTTGGGGAAGGTGACGCTTCTCGTGCTGGTGCATACTGGGAAATATGTTAATTTTTGTACTGTATGTGCTTTACTTTCAATATGACGTGCAAATCATCACCTGTCTGAGGGAAATTTGATCATTTTTATGCTCATTGTCGTCAGACACTTTGCAGGTGTTTAACAGTGTTAAATGAGTTAGACCAGCAACAAGGGGAACATGCTTACAGTATAATAGCTTAAATACATTAATACAGTACCTATTCCTTCTGGATCAGGGGGAGCTCACCCTTGTGTATATGACCTACCCTTCTGCCCCTTGTCCTATTGGAATGTGAGTGACTCTTGTGGGATTTTTCCCTCCATCCCTCTGTTAGCCTCTGTTAGAGTACAGCATCCCTGACAGCTCTCATAATTAAACTCAGGACTCGCTGGACTCTGCAGGGTATACAGCTAAGGCCTCATCCTAGCTCCAGGTGTGTCAATCAAGCCCATCTGTCGTGACCCCAGCTAGTCAGGAAGGACCATAATTATTTTCACTTTCGGGGAAAAAATTGCATAAAGGCCTGTTTATATTAAGTAAAACAGTTTATAAGCAGTAAAACGAAGCATTAAATCACCTCAGGCTGCCTGTCCCCCACGGACAGGCAAAGATCAGTCAAAACACTAAGGGTACAAGGAAACAAAAAATCTGCTGTAAGATCTTCAATGTCGCTGGCAATCCTTTATTATTTACTTTGAAGCTGAGAAACACAGTGGTGACCAAGAGAGGGCATCCACAGAGAATGTAAATTGTTCGATCTTTTTTTATATGAGCGAGAGTCTTACCTCCTCCCACTGGTGAATGTAGCGAATGAGCCTGGACAGACGCAGCAAACGTAGCAGACTCAGGATCTTAGTGAAGCGGACAATCCTCAGTGCGCGGGCCGTCTTATAGAAGTCCGAGTCAATACGTGTCTCCACAATGAGGAAGATGTAGTCCACTGGGATGGAGGAGATGAAGTCCACAATGAACCAGCTCCGCAGGTACTTTACTTTGATCTGCTGTGGGTCCAGAATGATCTCGGTGTTGTCCTCCTTCACAATGCCCGTGCGGAAGTTGAGCACCAGGTCAACGAGGAAGAAGGTGTCCGACACGACGTTGAAGACGATCCAGGGCGGGGTGTGCTCGTCCTTGAAGAAGGTGATGCCCACCGGTATGATGATGAGGTTGCCCACCATTAGCAGCAGCATGGTCAGATCCCAGTAGAATCTGCAAGGGGACCATCAATTAGGGTGGAGGGTGAACATGTGGGAACCAAAAGCTAACCCAGAACTTCAGCAAATAACTAAGTAAATAAGCTATACAAACACATTGCATTCTGTAAATATTTACAAAAAATGTGACTTCGTTACATAATCTTTTGACATCATCATCATCAATGTCATTATTATTTTTACTATTCACTTTTCCTCAATGTCCCAGATCTCTGAGGAATTTACATGTCCTCTCAATGTTTGCATTCCTTCCAAGTGCTCTGATTTCCTTCCACAGACCAGTGTGACACGGTTAGCCAAAGTGGTGTCTCTTAATGTGTGACTGTGTTTGCCCTGGAATGAACCGACATCCCGTCCAGGGCATGTCCCATCTTGAATGCTGTGTTTTTTGGGAGAGGCCCAAGGCACACAACACTATCCTGGATAAGAGTCTGTGCAACTTCAGCATCATCATGTTTATATACATGCATTTTTAGTCATGCTCCAGCACAGTGTGTGATCCGAGTTTAGCCAGCCCTTCTTTGCCTATCACCGATTTGTAAAACTGGAAAACATACTGATGGAACTGAAACCAGGACCCTCTGGATATTCCGGCCTGCAACTTACTGACAAGAAGCTCAACAACTCAGGATATTTTATTGTCTTATCTGATGATTGTGTCCAGGCATCTGGACACATGTTGGACACATTGCATTTAAGACAAATACACAGATTCAAATAATAATAATAATAATAATAATTACATTTATACAGCACCTTTCACAACCTCAAGGTCGCTTTACAGGAGGGAGAAAAAAAAATCAATAATCAGGAAGACAGTGGAGAAATGTTCAACCACAGATAGTGAACAGTGACACAGCAAAACTGTATTATACAGAGACAAACTCCATCTTCGTGATGCGAAACAGATCAAGGGGCACGGAAACTGATGGATGATGAGGAAAAGTTTATTAGTACATAATTAGCACAAAATAATTCTTACACAGTACAATGTCCAATGGATTACAGGTGAGCAGAGGGTCGTGTCTGGCGACATTGCCTCTCCCCAGAAAAATCCAAGCCCTCCCACTGTCTCAGAGTGTTAATATCACACATCTCTGCTATGCGTTGATATATTTTGTGTTGGTTTAAAATCCTTATATGGCACTATACAGCATGCTAAAAATAATGATGCACAACTCAAAGCCTACACAAGCCCCAGGGAATTAAGCAGTTAAAACATTCATAGACAGACAGTTAGTTGATGTCTTCTGTCACGTCTGAGGACCAGTGATGTCTTGGTATGGCTGCCTCTCAGCGGCGTTGCCGTGGCATTTAACTGGGTCGCCGTTACTCGTATGGAGGTATGCTGGGGTGAGTGCACGGCCAGCAGCCTTCCTGATCCTCGCGGAGAGATAACAAGCATAACGAGTAGCTGTCGTCAGGGTCTCTGTGAGGGCCACACCAATAGGGAGCCCCACCATCAGGGTCTCTGTGAGGGCCACACCAATAAGGAGCCCCACCATCAGGGTCCCTGTGAGGGCCACACCGACAGGGAGCCCTGCACTCATCTCTCTCTCTCAAAGAGAGAGAAAAGCAGAATGTAAATGTGTGTGAAAAAGGGAGAGGAGGTCATGTGTGTCTGTGCGTGTGTGTGTTTTTAAAAAAGTGAATGTGCATGTGTGTGTGAAGGACAGCGTATGTGTGCATGTTTGTATGTGTTTCCCAATATGTGAATATGTATGCATGTGTGAAAATGTGGGGGGGTTGTGTGTACGTATTTGTGTGTGTACATACACACATGGACACGTTGCCTTCTTCCATGAACAGCTATAGCAGCTGCCAGCTCATCTTATCATAGCAGGATCCATTTGCTGCATTTGTTATGCACAGGAAGGAAGACGTGGGAAAACACAGTTCTATAAATACACATCAGGAGAAGCACGAGCCTGGCGATCAGAGGCACACAGAGCCGTCTGGGTGAGCCCTCCACCGATAGGAAGCGACAGGACAGCCCTGTCTTAACATGCCGGCAGGTGGTGGTCCCCGAGTGATGCCTTCCCTCAGACGGCAGCAATCCCCACACCGGCAAAGGCTCGCTTTAATAATTGCAGTCCTGATTTGATTTTCCCTGCTTTGCACACATCGCCATGTCTGCTGCACCATTTCCCCAAACGATGCAAAAATTGTTTTATAACTTAGTGATATTTTTTTTCCTCTTCACAAATGCTATCAACAGGTCTTGCCAGTAGTAATTCTGTGCTTGATATGCATAAATATATACCCGACTGTATTAGGCATTTTCTCCACACCACAAAGAGCATGGTGCACCAGACAGCCCACTGGTAGTAAATGGCAGCACGTACCCTAGTGTGTACTCTGTTGTCAGCCACCTGGGCCGGGTAATCCCCCTCAAACTGCCTGGCATGTCCTGACATGCACATTTCAGTTTGCTGACCAACCCCATTCACATGCCCTGGCAAATTAAGATCTCTCTCACTCACTAGATGAATTTGTGCATGCATACAGATGCATGCAAACAGATGCATGCAAACAGAAATTCTATTGCTGGGCTCCTTTTGTGTCATTAAAACATGCAAGGCAATGAAGACATGCCCCATTTCCCCAGAAAAATACAAAAAAGGTATCCATCCATCCATCCTTCCATCCATCTATCCTGCAGCTGCTTATATTGCTCAGGGTCAGAACTGGGCCTGGAGTCTATCCCAGGGAGCATAGAGCAGATGGCTCAGGTAAACCTTAGATGAGATGCCAGCACCAAAATACATTAAAAATTATAACAAAATATAACAACTTTATTCTAAAAATAAGTGAGGGAGTGGATAAAAAAATACATATTTCATGGAACTGTACTAGAAGCTATACGACATCGGAACAAAAAGCAGGCTGCCACGTGCTGGCAGTAACACAGAGTCCTGATGGGAAATGGTAGGTCCTCCACAAAACACTGCTTATGCTCCCAGTGTGATTTGGAAGCAGATAAAAAAACAGATTAATTAGTCTTTTACCGGTCATATTACGAAGAATGTGGGGGTGTTCTGTTTAAAAACCTGAAGTGATGTGCAATTTTAATATTTGCATGGAGAAAAAAATTCAAATAAGTATAATAGTCCAACTTGTCTACAGTTATTGTGAATCGATGCCTTAATTACTGGGAACAGCAGAAAAAAGGTATCAAGCTACAGTAGTAGCGACTGCATCATATTCAATGCAATGTATGCCAGGATTTGGAATAGCGGAAATGACAGCAGACGAAAGCACTCATATTTATTTGTGCTAGTTTTCAGTAAATATGAGTCATAACAGCAAAGTAGATGGCCTAGCAAACACACTCCAGGCTGTTGCCACTTAAAAAGAGGTAAGTGGGAAGACCAAGCAGCAATTCCCATGATTATTGATATCCATGCAAGCAAGAGGTCCTGGCAGTACTGCTATATTTAGGAAAGAGACCCTGTTTTATCTTTCCAGAACACCATCGCAGACTGAAGGCTAAATAAGCACAGCACATTTCAGTCTCAGGGAAACAACATACTTTCTAAATGCGAACACAACTTAGATCAAAGAATTGAATGCTGTAAATCACACAGCAAAATGTAGAGAAGGAAAACAATGAATGTAATGGTACTTAGGTACAGGAAAGTTACTATTAGGACACAGGTCTTGAGAATACCTCTCCAACAAAACACATCATCAGACTCTGCTTGGGATTAACTGCTGATTGGAGATAGAAGCTCATGGGATTCCTCTTACAGTATGTCTAGGCTGAGCCTTTTCTCCCACAGTCCATGGAGAAACATGTTCACTCTACTTCACCAGAGTTAAGGCCATCATTCCCATGGAAGAAAACAATTGATTCAGCCAGCTGTTTACCTGCGCAGTATGTACTGTTGTTAGGTATGCGCACAATAGATCATTGAGCTAATGATGTCAGCGTACAAAGGCACAGCATGAGGAAGCTTTTGGCCCAGTCGAACCTGTATCAGCTTAAGACAAAAACAAAACCAGCTCATGCCCACCAAATTTACTGCCTTCACTCTGTTGTGAATGGTAGCTTGAAGCCAGGCTGATGCTCCGTCTGCATTCGCTCTCAGCCAATCCAATTTTCCACCTTGGGGCTGTAAGCAGCCTTGCCTTCAACATAACTGTGAATGGTGACAATGCAAAACATTTACCAGCGCAATCAGTAGTGCACTGATTATCAGTGACCATGAGACAATTTAACCTTTTGATGGTGAGACAGTATTCAAGGTGTTTAGGATGTATTTTTTTAACAATATGTGGCAATTGGGAAGAATAATTTACCTGTTTATAGATGAATTTCCCTCAAAAGAGATATAGGAGGTGTAGCAGGCAGCAGTAAATGGACCACACCAACTCCACTGTCTCATCAATTATGCATAATTTCATTCAGTGAAAAAAAAAAAGTTAACGCACAGCTAATGACCAGTTCATTTCCTAACTATGTGCCCATTATTTCAAAATAACTGCTTGCGTTAAAAAGGTTGCTGCCCTATCTCAGCTTGGCAGGGACAGTGACGGCACTTAGGAATGCAAGACACCAGACAAGGACAGCTCTGGTTGTAATCGGCTCTCTGCCATCCCACACCACTCATCATATGCACCCCTGCTGCTGCCACCCCACCCCCAGTTCTGGGAGCATCACCATCCCGATTGGCCCGTTCATCATTATCAGACTCCTTACTGATTTCTCTGACATGCAGATTGAGACCGCTTATCGGCTAACCACCATATGAGGGAGTGACATACACAACTTTTCGCCAGGAACTCCCCCTACCCACAACCCCCAACCCACTATGCTACTGCGTTATATCAGGCAGTAGCACTTCTAGACCATTTCAACTGGGGGATGGGCAGATGCATTTGACCTTAATATCCTTCAAATATTACTTACACTAGATTTCCAGCATTAAGATTCAAAAGACAATTTTGAAAACCAATGTTATTTATGCAATGCTTTCATACAATCACTCTGATTTCTTGCATCCACAAGCTTAAGCGCTAATTCGGAAAGTATCGTTTACTACAGTAGGTGAAGAGTAATATGTATTCAGGCAGCCACCCTTCCCGAGCATACATGTACCTCCCCCACCCTGTGCTCTGTCCAGCCATGCCACCAGCCTCCTTGAACGCTGATCTGGACCTCAAAATGGTTGGGATGGAGTGAAGAGAGAGATATGTGATAGAGCATAAGCAACAGAAAGTGGTGTAATGGAGGGGGGGGGGGAATCCCTGATAACTGGATAAATGGCTTAATCCATGCCCTACCTTTCACAGAGAGCCACGTTGTTTAAAGCCTGAAAATCAACTTGGGACATTTTATGTTTGGCCCTGTGACCCCTTCCAACCCAAGGAACACTCACAGGAGAAGCAAAGCACATATCTCAGATTAATGCCGCTTAAAAGCAAGCTGTTTAACCTATGTGGGATGTTATTTTCAACAAAAAAGGAACATGAATGTGGGGCACTTATTTAACTGGCATTTATGTTTATTTAATATCTATGCCGTTTCTTTAATACTGTTTCCTTAAAGTTTGTTTGAATAAACTGTCTGCTGCTTTAATAATAAAATGATTCACTGCTCGGCGTGGAAAAAAAACATGAATGTACAGAAATAGAAATAAAAACACCCGATTTTCATAGGGGGTAAGTAGCCCTATAATAGCCTGAGAATGAAAGAATAATAAAATGGGGACTTCCCTATTGCGGTTGGGGAGCGGCGTGCGATCTATTTTTGAAGACTGCGTGTCTCTGTATCCTGCAATTAGTCAGAGGTTCCCAGACAGCCGGCATGGAAGGAGCCAGCCGAAGACATCGATCTGAGCTCGTGCTTCCCGCCAGTCACGGCGGCTGCACGGGCACGCGCCGCGCTTCTTTGGGGCGCGAGGGGAGCCCCGTGCAGTCGCTCGCGACCCGGTACTCCCCGGGATCGCGGAGCATCGGAAAACGAGCGTAACGGCGTGACCTCGTTCGCAGAGTCTTTGCACATCTGCTTATTTATGTGCTTGGATTTTCATTGAAGCTGCGCGACTAATTACTGAACATTCCCTCGTTAGGCTTTTCTTACTTGTTTCGACGTGAGTAAAAGAACAGGCTTTTATCATTGTCAGAAAAGGTAGGGTTGGCACAAGCTAAGCTGCCAGATGTTTTTGCTGAAGATGAATCTGTGGAACAATTTTCCCGACCAATAACGCTTTTGACACACCCATACCGAGAAGAGGACCAGTTTCCTCCTTTACATCAGAGATGGCTGATCTCCCAGTATCCAGCTGAGACACGGGATGAAAGGAAAGCAGAGTAGGGTGGTCCTTGAAACCAACACTGTCAGATGATTGGCTACTGCCCTTGCCATTCGGAGCCTTTAGCCAAAGGAGATTGGCTCATTTGAACAGCTGTTCCTCTCTGCCAAAAGGAGGTGGGGCAGTATGGGCTGCTGAGGAGAGGAACAGAGAAAGGGACCTACGCTGAAGCAGATCGCGACTGGAAGCTTCGGCTCCGCTAATTACCGCTGCTGCCTTCGTTGATTAGAAATCAAACTGAAGATTAAAAAAGTACTGAAGTGTGACATGAGATTAATTAAGATTTTTTTTTTTTACTTCTCCTTTTAACTTCAGGACAGATTATTTTTTCTGTTGTACAAAGTTTGCATCATGCCCTGGACTTACAAAGACACCTACACCACTGAGACTATAGACTGGCATTAGGAAAGGAAAGCATTGATAAAGCAAGCATTGATAAAGCAGTTTAAATTTGCTTGATCCTCCATCTCCGTATCACTGATTTCCTGTCCAATGCAAACTGGAGAACCTGGAATATCAAGTAAACTGCCTTTTTACCCCTATCTGAATTGTGCCAAAAATACATCTATTAGTCTGTAGTGTATGGCAGAATAATCAAGGTGGCCAGGTGGGGAAGAGGAAAGAACAAATGGGAGAGAGGGATTGCTTTCAGAATCATAACATACAAGAGTAACTTCATCTGTTGCTAAGATTTTACAGCTTTCCGGGACACAACGAGGACAGAGAGAAAAGGCAATGGAAGACGATGAGGAAAACTCACACTGGAATATGGCCATGCGCAGCTGAAGATGCTCTTCCTGGAATTAAATCTAAATGTCATACCAGTTGGCGCAAACTCATGCCCAGGAAGCCTGAGCACCCAGAAGGCCATCACATCGTATTAGTGCTACTGGCTATTCCAGCGATGCTACTCCACCCGGTGGGGGAGATGTGCACCACAAGTAATGAAATACAGGAGAGGAGGGTATGATAATGCACAGGATCACAGATGCACTGACAGCCTTGCACTGCCCCTGCTTTATGTGCGTCCTGCTTCCTGGTCTGTTGCTCCCACACATGACCGCCGGAGACCACGTGGCACATTCAGTCACTGTCTGTCAGTCACCCCCACTCCTGGCCCATCCCCCCTCCATTAAATAAATTGCACCGTAGTAATCTCTTCTGATGTGTGCTTCTAATATTCTCAGATGAGCATGCCAGGCTTTTCTGATTACCCCACTTTTGAGTCCCACTGGCACGTTTGCTTAATCCCGTGCATTACCTGCACTAAATTAAAAAATGTCCACAATGGAGGGAAACACATCAGAGAGAGTTAAAAAAAAAAAAAAAAAAAAAACATCTCACTTGGGTCAACCAGTCTGGAGATGTGTCAGCCTCAGGGCTGTCAATATAAATGTTGCAATTCAGCTTCTAATATTGAATTTATGTAAAATAATTGCATCAGCAGTTGTAAATCTCTTAAAACAATGTGCTCATATTCTGCATGGATGATTTTCTAAGTGCTTTGCAGGTCTGTTTTTGGTTATTAATTATTATAATAATAATTTCTTTCAGCTCACCGTGTTAACATTTTGATTTAATTAAATTGTCCCAAGAAGTTTGTCTATTTGTTGGATCCGGAGATCCAGATTACGCATCTGAGGACTTCAACCTGAAGGACCTCACTGCAGAATAAGGTCTTTCCAGATGCCTGACATGCAACTGTCCACTGAGGACAGTCACATTCTGACAACTGGGTATTAATTTTTTAGACAGGGCACAAAGCTCTGTTTCAGCCTGTTTGTGTGCGCAGCTGTCAACCTGAAACAATGTGTTTACTAGCCAGATATGTTGTTATTATTACTTTTTTTACAGAGCTGGGCCTCTTTAGGAAGATGAAAAGTTTCCGATGAATTGTGTATTTAAATGCAATTGTCCTCAATGGCCCCGCAGCCACTCATGGTGAGAGCGTCAGCCACATAATCGGGCACTAATGTAAATGTAACACTTTCATCTTTTTCTCATTTTCTCTCAATCGAGGGGTGAGGAGCTGTTAAATGGAGGATGGTACCGGAAGAGCCAAACTGACACTGAACAGCAGGTCAGTTAAAGGGAGTATTAGCGAATCTGTGAGTGCACGGGTCCAGCGAGGGGTGGGCCAGGCATTAACCTTCTCTATGTTTATAGGGACCTTCTCACACTGGAGTCAAAGGTTATCTCAGCTTTTCTGGGAAGCTTATAACGGAATCCTACTGGACGACCTTTATTTTTAATTTTGCAGAAAATAAGCTGTAATACTTCTCCTATATCTGGGATTGTAGCAATAGGTTGGATTATGATGTCATTTTTAATGCCACCTTTTTCCTTCAGAAGACCACCCCTGTCCCCTCTCTGTTCCAATTATTAAACGACGAGTGACAGAAGCCAGCATAATGCTGAACATGCAGTCGCCATCTTGCTGTGAAGCGCACTGCTTGTTTGTTAGTTCCCTAGAGGGGTCCCGGCTCCTGGGGTGGGGTGGGGTGGGGTGGGGTGGGGGGGGGGGTTGTTGGTTCAAGCCAAGTTATCACTGTAAGTGCAGCATTAAAGTCCCCTTTCTCCTACACTAAATTAATGAACCATTAATTCCCCCCATATTGGAGTTTTTAGCTGTTTAAATTCCTGGAAAAAACCTCCATGATAAATGATGATAAATTCCGCCAAGCCTGTGCACAAGAATCAATATCCATACTGCTTCACTGTTCTGTATATTTAAAAGCCACGATTTATCTTTGCTTTCAGGTTTTTTATATTTGAACTTTTTAACATCCTTAATAGTTTTTATTGTCTTTAATATTTTAATTAGATTCAGTTTAACTTTAATTATATGATGATAACAGTGGAGGACTCTATAAGGAAAATGCATCATGAATTGCTGCCAATTAATCAGTATCACAATTCAATGCCTCAGCAGCAAACTTTACAGCTTTTTGAAACACTCATAGGTACAAAAAAATTGGCATCTATATATCAATAAGGAAGAAGAATTTCTGCAGGGCTGCCTGGTAGATATGAGGCAGGAACTGTACAGTATGACACCGACTACATGTGAGCCTGTCTTTTACGAACATGTCTATTGGAATAATGGATGGCAAGCAGCCAGGGAAGGTGGTTCCACCTCGGATACAGTCTCACGGAAGCGGAGGGAAGTTTCTCAACCCGGGGTGGCCTGGCGACGCAGTGCAGGTGTCTGCTCATGATGCTTAACTTGCAGAACACTTCTGGGGCCAGAATGTCACAGATGTCCTATTTTGTTAGACACTTTACTTTAAAAACATGGCCGCATCGCCGACAGAACCTCTGTTGTATCGTGGGCAGTGGGGGATTAGGCTTAAGGATCAACTAATGAAATGTGAGAGAATTAAGGGAAACCTATGGAACAGCCATGAGCAGGTGGGGGAGAGGAGTCACTGCAGGAGAGCAGGAGAAAAAGAATCAAATATGTGTGCATACAGAACGAAACGCTGACCCTTGATCTCCATCGTTCACCTTTCCCCTGGAATGAGACACTTCCTGTCTCAGAGCCCAGCTCTGCGGTGCCCTGATGTGGGCATATCTGGGATCACACCCCATGGAAGCCCCCCGGGTGGCACCCATGATTTTCGCCTTTGTGACGTCAACAGCAACCCGAGATTTAATCTCTCCAGCATGACAGGCGGGTAAGGATGGCAGGACCGTCCGGTGGGATAGCGGGAAATGGCAAAGGGCATTAGCAGGGGCGACCAAGCCTGGAGTCTTATCATCCAGGGAATGTCGGCAGCAGATCACTGCTCAAAGAAAACACTCCCTCCATTCCCCTGGAAGGACAAAGCGGGATACACATGTCCAAATCAATCCAGTCACCTACTAAACAAGGAGCAACTGCATACCGCACAAATAGGATTGGGTCATCGACAAAAATCCCTCTTGTTTCTGGACCAACAAATAAACAAGTCGTACCATTTTCCAAAGACTACCCACCCCCCACCCCCACGACCCCGACCTTTCTGCTGCTATCATAGATCAGGCTCCACTTCCACAGCACATAATGAGATCATTTGCGCAGTTGCATAAAATGACAGGGTTGAACACCATTAACATTTCAAAACACACCAATGAAGATGTTCCGGTATTTTGTAACGCTCTGAGGAAAAAAAAAACAAGAGACCTGTAGGACACAAGATTATCCAGAACTTAAACATTCATTAGATGCCAAAGTTATGTGGACAGTTAACGAGATCTTGGTCCTTGGCTAAAGGCTGAAACAACAGTATGTGACCCTAGATTTTCAAATCGCGGAGGGAACATGTGTATTTAAGTGCTTGCTCAGGGGTAGGCGATAAGACACTAATGCTTTGGTTATTGAAAGCAGAAAGAGCTTCGTGGCTCTGACACCAGACATCAACCTCACAGTCCCCGGGCATTGGGTCACATGCACCAGGCGGAGGATTTCCCACAATTCCGTGCAACCTGAAATTCACCCTCAGTGCTTTCATGCATTTTCTTTGTCCCACATT